ACCCGGCTCTGGTACCATTGATAGGATTTATGGGATAATCTAGGCGTAGATCAATGGGTAAGACTTAACTTAGATATAGAACTTGATGATGATGTACCTTATCTCGAGTCTCTCGATCGCATGACGTGTGATGCCATGATTTAAGTAGCAACAGAGCGGGCCCGGTCTGGTGACGGCAGCGGCGAAGGCGATGGCGCTTCCCGTTGCTTACAGCGTGCGCTTCTAGATCGGACTAGGGCTAGGATGTTGGTGGAAACTGGTGGCCGCGGTGAACCTCGTACCTTGCGCCCCGACCCCACCTTCCTCTTTATAACGATGCGCGACGGGGGCCCATTAGCCAGGAGAACAGCTGGGCGCCCCGATCAGGGCACGAATCAAGGGTCCAATTGACCATTCGGCCAACTAGTGAAAATCAATCTAACGGGTATATGACCCAGTCCGCTTTGAATCTGTCGACTGTCGAGTCGTTGAGCGGCAAATGGTCGCACTGGGAAGATAATCGTCCTGTTCGTTTGGGCTTGTTTGGCTTATAAGCCGTATTTTTTCAGCCAACGAACATGATTTTTCTCTCACATCAAATCAGCCAATAATACTTTCAGCCATAACTTATCGTACCAAATGTTTCAAACGAACAGCACGAGTGCACCTAGTAGCATTTAAGTTCTGCATTTTTCAGCTGAAAAGTGGCACTCGTTGTTGCCTGCAGGACGTGGTACCACCGGACACCGGTGATTCCTGCAGAACTTGACCATCTCTTATTATTAGAACAGAGACCTGCCGCATTCCAGTGAATTTTTTATATAATTTTGTATACATACCTATAGAGATCTTTTTTCCCCTTGCGTCGATCGAGTAAGAAAACAGATGAACCAACACAGATCGCGTGTGTGTGTGTGTGTACGGTGTACCTCCATGGTCTAGCTCTCGCGGTAGCTCCAAAAAGTTTGTGTTTGATCCATCGATCAGGATCTCCGTTATCCGTGACAGGAAGGTGCATCACATGGGTGCAGAGCGAGCTCACCGATGACGGGCTGTGTGCTGAGAGTACATGACATATGACATTTGTGTCCGACAGCCAAGCCATGCATGATGCGTGGCACTCTCCGCGTGGACCACTTCTAAAACCGAATATTGTTATCCATGGTACTACGTATTTGCTATGCATCCAAAGTGGCATGGTAAAGGCAAAAGCCGAGAGCGGCACTGTGGAGAAGTCGTCCCCGCCCACGCGTGCCTGGCTCCCTGCACTGCACTGCACTGCACACCAACGTTAAGAAAAAGCAGGGCTTTGGGCATGGGGCAGGCAGCGCACTGGTGAGCGTTGAGCGTTGAGCGCCGAGCGCGAGCGCGTGCAGGTGGCAGCGGACAAGCAACCCCCAGACACGGCAAAGGGAACACCAGCTGGGACCGAGCGAGACCTTGTGTCGGTGACAAGCTAGCACACCATGACACGCGCGGTCAGGCAGGCCGACGCGTCTTTTTCTTGTGCGCTCTCTCTCTGTGTGTAAGCCCCAGATTAAAATTTAGAAAGGAAAGAGTAGCGGGCCGAAAGGAAACCAGTACTATGTGGAATGAATGCATTGACACCACGGGCCACGGCCTGCATAGACTGTTGGCATCGGCGGACCACCCATCAGCTTGTGGAGGAGAGATCGAGTTGGGCTACAGGAATCCCTCCTCCGTTTCCTTGTGCAGACGGCCCAAGCCTGACAGCAGAAACGTCCTCGGCTCGTTGGGGAGCAGGAAGCAAATGCTCCGTAGCCTCCTTTTCGCTCTCGCTCTCACTTGTCTCCCTCGCGGCATTCCGTGCCAAATGCCAAGCCGTTGCTCGGATGCCTTGCCTGGGCAGCAGTCATAGCGCTATGATGTGTCGTGCCATCCTACCTATTATTCGCTCCTTTTCCATGACACCGGCGGCGGCCGCCTGTAACTGTACACGTGCGTTTCGTTGCGTCCATATCACGGCGACAGCAGTGCGTGCACCATCATCTGCTGGCTCACGACTCCTAGTCCGGCAGCACACGGTGATCGGTCCCGTATTCATTGCGTTTGCTTATACAGAGTAGGTGTGGCCTTTTAATTTGCGATTCGATTAAATGACGATGACGCTGGTCCATTAGAGGACCAATAGCTTTTAAGGAGTTGCCATGTAGCTGGGTCCATCAACTTCGACCAAACAAACATTGCTGTCCTAATTTCTATAGTGTATTCATAGAAATGCAATGCATGCAAGCTCCCTTTTGCTCAGTGCGTGGTCTCTCATCGATGAAGCAGCGACGACCTTTCGCTCAGCAAGCAAGTAAGTGGCAACACATCCAATAAGCACCGTACCGAACGAATCTCTGCGTTTCCAGCCGGGGCATATATTACGTACTAAACTCCGATCCGCGCGTACAGCGTTTTTGACCTCTGCGACGCCGCCGACGGACGGCCGGCGGTGCACGCACGCACGCAGGCGAACTAAAGCAGCTCCACATGCATATCGCTCTCTGCAGGTCTGTGCATGCCGACGTGGGAAAGATCGCGGATCCCGTACGACGTTTTGACCTCTGCGACGCCACGGCCGGCCCGGGGCACGCGGCGCAGACAAACTAAAGCAGCTCCACGCATCAAATATCATATCGATCTCCGGTTGTGCGCGCCGACGCGGGCAAGATGTCGTCAATCAATATTATCGCACACGACCATGCATGTGCCTTGTCGTCCTGGTATCGGACTCGATCATATATATATATATATATATATATATATATATATGGACATGCATGCGGAAGATCTTTTCAGCATGTTCGTTTGTTGGTTTTAGATAGGGCTTATCAGTCAACCAACTCATAACAAACTAGCACCAGCTGAGTTTATCAGCCCATAAACCAACCAGCGAACAGGCTGTTCATGGAAACATGGTCGCCACGACGCCACTTGATCTGCCAGTGGTGTCGTACTGGTTCCCAGCAACGAGATCAGGGACGACTGTTAGCTGGTCACTTGCCCTGCCGCGCCGCTAGCTAGCTTTTGCATGCTGCTTCGTCGCCCGGCACTCACGACCATGCATGTGCCTTGTCGTCCTGGTATCGGACTCGATCATGCATATATATACATGATATGGACATGCATGCGGAAGACATTTCATGGAAACATCGTCGCCACGACGCCACTTGATCTGCCAGTGGTGTCGTACTAGTTCCCAGCAACGAGATCAGGGACGATTGTTAGCTGGTCACTTGCCCTGCCGCTAGCTAGCTTTTGCATGCTGCTTCGTCGCCCGGCACTCAACCGTCAACTTGCAAATATTTCATGGCGACTACTACTAGCTTGACTTCTTTTCGGCCTGGGCAAGTCCAATAATACAACCAAGTATTTAGCTATTAGTCAAGTTATAAAATCTAAGCTATATATTCGCGGTCTCTTATTTATCTACAAGAAACTTTTTATTGTTACTTTTACTCATATTTTACCTTCTGATTTCCCAATCCTCCTCACATTCACTTATGTCTAGGCCCAGAATTGTATAGGCTCCCATATCCAGCTTGTTGCTTGCATGAGAGCTAAACTCATCTCTCTTATCTTCTCCACATCAGCATTTGTTTGGCTGAAAGGACGCCTCCGGTGGGTGTCCAAATAGCTAGCTGACGTCAGACGTGGAGGAGAGAGAGCATCAGAATTGTATAGGCTCCCGTGTCCAGCTTGTTGCTTGCATAAGAACTAAACTCCTCCATTTTCTCTTCTCCACATCAGCATTTGTTTGGCTGAAAAGACGCCTTCGGTGGGTGTCCAAATAGCTAGCAACGGATAAATCAATTAGCTCGCATGCTGTCCAAGGAATTAACAGGTCTGACCTACTTGTCCCCCACATTCTTTTACGAAACATGTGCATCCTTAGGGCACCCGTCAAATTAAGAATTAGATACTAGCTCTCTAGCTCTCTAGGTCAACTTCTCCAATAGTATTAGTTTTTAGCAACGGAATATAGTATGATTAGGCCTATATGACACTCTCATATATTCTTAGAATATGTGTATGAGCCTTTTTTTTTTAGAAAGAGGAATATATTAATAATATCTCAGCTTCTACATCGATCAATGCATATAGTTGTATATGTATGAGCCTAGCTCTAATCTAAAAGCTAGCTTTTCTCTCTCTCCTATTAAAATATAAAAAAAATACGTAGAGCTAGCTTACGAGAGACACCCATTGAAAGTGCTCTAAGGCCTTTTTATCTTTTTTATCTTCTCTCCCTCCACGGGATCGGAGACTATCATTGTACTTGCTGTTAGGCGGAAGACAGTAGTCACGTAGCTAGCTACAAGTAGGTTATACATATTCATGTGGTCGAGCACCATGTATATAGGACAATTTAATCTGGAAACACACTGTTAAGCTAGCACGCCATTATATTTAGTGTCGTCGTCGTATCCATCGTCCATCTTTCGGTGGTCAAATTACTCTCCTCTCGACCGCTCGGTTCCATTGCGCGTGCGTCACACTGTGATACTCCAATTACAGCACAGTACTTGTATATATATTATTGTTCGCAGACGAATTGAAAAGAAGGTCAAGATGTAGCACGTAGCAGGGCACTGGCCGTGCCCACGTGTTGCGCCGGCGGTGCGTGCAAATGGCGCCGCGAGTGGTGGATTCACACACTGGACCTAATCCAAAAGGCATCGTGTTGCTAGAGTAGCTGTCGTCGTACGCGCGCACGTACGCGGTACGCCGTAGCCCCTGCTTTTGCTGGCTTTCAAATGCACCGGGCAAAGTCGGCGACCAATGCTGTAGCCTTATCGAGCAACAAGCTTTAGTGTGCACCACCCTATTCTATAAAACCCATGCATCACCAGCTCTGCTTTGCTCATCGATCTCGGCTAGCTAGGCGCACGTACACTGCTTGCTTTAGTTTTGCTGAGGTCTGTCGTCTTTGGCGGCCGGACACTGAATTATAGGAGCAGCAGGCAGCAGTCGCTAAGGTCCGGCTCTCGAGACGATCCAATTCCAATCCAATAATGGCGGCGCGCTCGATGATGATGACATCCGCTCGCCTCGCGACGCTGGCCGTCGCCTTGGTCCTGCCGTGGCTGGAGGCCGCCGAGGGGGCGCCGTGGTTCTGGCCCCCGATCAGCGGCGACGACCCGTACTGTCTCACATGGCGCGTGATGGTGGAGGCGAACAACGCCAAGGGGTGGCGCGCGGTGCCGGCGCAGTGCGTGGGCTACGTCCGCGGGTACATGGCCTGGGGCCAGTACTACCGGGACGTGGGCGCCGTCGCGGAGGAGGCGGCCGCCTACGCCGCCCAGGTCGCGCCGCCCGCCGGTGGCGACGACGGCCGCGACGCCTGGGTGCTCGACGTCGACGACACCTGCCTGTCCAACCAGCCCTACTACCAAGTGAAGCAGTTCGGGTACGTACGATCGATCGAGGACGTGCACTGCATGCATCGATCTATGAAAGCAAGAGCAAGCAAGCTAGTTGTCGTCGTGCTGAGTGCTGACGGGTATATATATATATACGCATGCAGGGCGTATGATCCGGTGGCTTTCAGGGCGTGGGCGAGCAGGGAGATCTGCCCGGGGATACCTGCGATGCAATGGCTGTTCCAGACGCTGAGAAGCCGAGGGTTCAGGGTGTTCCTGGTGACTGGGAGGGACGAAGAGACCCTGGGCTCCTGCACCGCCGCCAATCTCGCCGCCGCCGGCTTCTCGGGGTACGACCGTCTCATCATGAGGTACGCACGCTACCGTCTCTCTTCTCTTCAATTCTTCATCGTTTGCAGAGGCGCGGCGTACCGTGGGCATTGTCGACGCAATTACACATAGCTGCTCCGGCCCAACACACCTATACATACATAGGGCCTAGTAACTTGACGTGGACGGGACCGTTTTTGCAGAGGCGCTTTGTACCGTGGGCAGAGCTCGGTGGCGTTCAAGTCGGCGGTGCGGAGGCAGCTGGTGGAGGAGCAGGGGTACCGGATCCGCGGCAACGTGGGCGACCAGTGGAGCGATCTGCAGGGCGACTGCGCAGGGGACCGCGTCTTCAAGGTGCCCAACCCCATGTACTTCGTCCCATGATCTTCCATGTCATGCATATCACCACCCGGTGCCGTGCGTGCGTGCGTGCCCCCGCCCGCGCCATGTACTCTAATGTACTTACTACTAGTAGGAGGGACTATGTCACGTAGGGTGTCGCATGAAGTACGTGTTCGGATGCTAATAAAAAAATAAATTACAGAATTCGTCAGTAATTCACGAGACGAATTTATTAAGTCTAATTAATCCGTCATTAGCACATGTTTACTGTAGCACCATATTGTCAAATCATTGACTAATTAGGCTTAAAAAAATTCGTCTCGCAAAATAGTCTCAATCTGTACATTTAGTTTCATAAATAGTCTATATTTAATACTCCATGCATGTATTCAAATATTCGATGGACGCTAGCTGCTTGGTGCTTGCAGTTCGATGTGTTTCACTTATATGCATGCAGACAAAACAAAACCGGGAAGAAAACAACCTCACCACGAAAAGGCGTTTGGATGGACGCTTCATTTCTGCCTCAGTAATCGCTCCGTAAAAAAAAAGGATGTGCTTAGCAAAAAGAAAAATGCGAGGGACGTGTGTTCCTTTTTTTTTTTTTTGTGGCCCCGTTCGCTGGTTTGAACTTTGGCTGAAACTGGTTAAAAAACACTGTTCCGGTTGAATTGTTGTGAGAGAAAAACACTGTTTCGACTGAAAAAATAAGCCGAATAAACTAAATTTAAGATAAGCGATGTGTGCGTGGATTTGGGGAACCGGCCGAGGAGTACTGTAGGGTCCGGCAGGACGATTCCTTTGTCGGGTAGCGAGCTGGGAACGAGACATGCTTATACGTGCACGTAACTATCCGTCACACGCTACTTACAGGGGAATGTGTGAAGGTTGGTGGTGAGCGCGACGTCCGTTCCGGGTGCCGGGGCTCAAGCCAATTTTTCATTCCAGTTCCAGCCTCGCCCCGTCGCTCGGTGCTTCCGCAGTTCCGCTGCCCAATCCTTGGCTTTCCTTCTCTCTCAGCTCGCCCACAGGCCACAGCGCCCCACTCGTGCGCGCACATATATCATATCCATCGATCGGTGTCTGTCAAGTGCCGCTGCCAACCCAACACCGCCCCAGCGCGCACGCATACATATATACCCGAGCGAGATGGAGATGGAGATGGAGGCGGCGGCGGTGACGGCGGCGGCGGCCCTGTGCTGCGCGCTGGCGCTCTACCTGTACCACGAGCTGTGGGTGGCGCCCGAGCGGGTGCGCGCCGCGCTGCGGGCGCAGGGCGTCGCGGGGCCGCGCCCCTCCTTCCCCTACGGCAACCTCGCCGACATGAGGCGGGCCATGACGACGGCGGCGGCGGCGGCGGCGGCTCAGAGCGGCGGCGTCGTGCACGACTACCGCCAGGCGCTGTTCCCCCACTACGAGAGGTGGAGGAAGGAGTACGGTACGTTACGATCGCAGGCGCATGCATAACGCTCGCTCGCTCGTCCGTGCATGTGTGTTGGTTGTTATTATCCCTCTAGGCGGTTAATGCTCGCGATCGAGCGGTTACTTTCAACTCACCACGGTTCGGTGCAAATTACTACTCGATCCCTTCCATTCATGCAAATTATCATAGGTCATGAACTTTCCCCAACTTCAACAAAAAAAAATATTTGGATAAAACTTTCATAGCACATGAACGACGAAACTATGCTGGTGCTGCAAATTTTGTTCGATATCGGACTTTGGGCAAAGCTAAAGTCCAGTTTGGTACAACTTCACATGGCTCGGCCCTAGCTTTGGCTCCGGTTCTTCTATGCTGCACTATAGCAAAGATGTTTTTCTTTCTCCTCCGCTTCGTGTGAAGCCACTGTTTTTGATTCACCAGCTATGGCTCCTCCACGCACTGTGGCAAAGAGCCAAAGCCATATCAAACGGGCCTAATCAGTCAAGGAGCACTTTAAGATGGAGCTAGAGAAGTAGCAAGCGTAAACCCCTAATGATTTGTTTACAAATTGCGATCAATTGTCTTAAAGTAGATTTGTTTTAATGATTTGTTTACAAGAGGACTTTGAGTGTGGAGGCAACAAAGTAATAACTAGGATGGTGCCATTATCGATCCAAATAAACTACTCTTTTCATTCTAATTAAAATAATTGCACGTCTTGCTTTCAGATATCAAAAATCTTTTTAAGTTTGACCAAATATATATAATAATATCGTAATATTTTATGTTGTTTGATAAGTACTATTAGGCCCTCTTTGGATCCTATAGTCTAAAGTTTAGCCACTAAACTCTAGACCACTCTAGCTTTTCAGGCTCCAAACAAGATATCTAAAGTGATATCTAAAGTTTAGATCATCTCACAAAATTTTAGAGAACAAAGGTGGTCTAAAGTTTTAGTTCTCAACTAAACTTTAGAACTGAGAATCCAAACAGGCCCTTAGATTAATATTGGAATATATTTTATAATAAACATACCAGGAGATGCAAAATATTGACAATGATTTGTATACATCTAGTTAAAAGTTTTGACTCATCAAAACAGGAATGTATAGCTACCTGATCTGCAGTAGCAGCATGAATGAAGAAACAATAATTGAACAGTGCGCGGTGCGAACTATTCTGTGGCTATACCATCTAGAGATAGATAGGTATATGCTTCAAGCGAAATGACAATCTGGTCCAAAACAAGTGACAACAATAATTGAGCTGCTAGCATGCGCTTTCCCTAAAACAAAATCTTCAAATGCTAATGCGCGAACAATATCGCCAGGCCGATCAGTTAATAAACTAGTTTATTTCGTGCATATGTGTCCCTTTTATCTCTTTGACCAGACCGGAGTAGTGTCATATACTCAAGGTGAGCTTTTTTTTCTTCTGAAAACCATTGAATGGTGCCTACAAAGAGAGAGAGAAATATATATATATATATCTTTTAAAAAGACAGTAAGGAAACAGTTGAATGGTAGCCAACGCTTGGCTTTCTTTTCAATCAGAATCCCATCTTTTTGGCCGTCTCTTTTTGAGCGAGACAAATGCAAATAAAATGATTCCGATCCACAGTGTGCGCAATGTTATGGAGCAAATAATATGATAATGTGTTGAGGTAGATAGCTGTTCTGTTCTGTTCATTCCCTCCGTGACCGGACAGAAGCACACAGGACAGGACACAACCCACAAATTTGCCGGATAAATAGAACTCAGTTTATCTTTATCACCAAGCGAGTGGGACTCTTTTGAGGATTCCATTGAAATGATTATTATTAGTCAATGCCTGTCATCTGATAGATAGAGATCATCATCGAGCATTGACGATGGTCCCGTTTGGATCAGCTAAACCCTTTTACAAACTCCAATCGCTAGTGAGAATCAGCTAATAGATTTTCATAAACCGGGTGGTCGAATAGTTCAAAATAGACTGTAAGTTGGATTGTTTGGATCAGGTAGTGCTTTTTTTAAGCAATCTAGCAACTTATTTCAGTTGATGCAACCAGGGCTTCAGACTCCCTGAAAGTTGAAACTACGTTGTCCAAATGGACCTACCCGGCCGCCAAATTATAAATGGTTCTAGCTCCGTTCTAAATGATTTTTCTTCTAATTTTGACCGGATTTATATAGACAAAAAATTGAAACTGAGAGGGTGCCCTCACAACTTGGCCCAGTGTTCCATGGCTGACGGTCTGCCCAATGTTTAGCTGACGGTGTTTCTGCCAGGACCCGAAGACTGACTGCAGGTTGGCCGGCCAGCAGCTCGGTGGGTTGCATCTTGCATGCACTGGAGTAGCCGTCATGGTCATGGCGGTTGGCGTGCTTGCCTCTGCGTGAACCTGAATCTTCCCGGAGCGGTTCACCTGAGATGGTACAGAGATTTGATCTGATCCATCCGGCGATCCGATCCGCCCTTCCGACGCCCACCACAAGCGACAAGGTGCTGCCTGTCCTCGGCGCCACTGGCTCTGGATGGTCCTCCTCCTCCTCCGTCCTCGTCGTCGACGACTCGACGTCTCGCGCCGGCCCAGCCGCGCAAAGTGAGTCAGAGCTTGCTGCGCCTTTGGACTGATCTGATGTCCTCTCCTCTACTTTGTCGCACTGCCAAAAAGCAGCACGTACTCCTACTTGCCGATTCCCGCACGCATCACGCGTCCATGCCTCATGCCTGAGTGGAGTACTGGAGTGGAGGAGAGTATCGTTTGGCCGGCCCGGCCGGCTCAGCTGTCAGCTCAGCTCTGCCTTTTTCGGTGTTCAGTCTGCCACGAAACCAAGTGACTGTTTAGTTTCTAAAATTTTGCAAAATTTTTCAAGATTCTCCGTCACATCGAATCTTTGAACGCATGCATGAAGCATTAAATATAAATAAAAAATAAAACTAATTACACAGTTTAGACGAAATTCACGAGACGAGTCTTTTAAGCCTAATTAGATTATGATTGAACACTAATTGCCAAATAACAACAAAAGTGCTACAATATCATTTCTCAAAAAATTTCGTCAACTAAACTAAGGCCAAAATTCCGGCCATCTCCCTGCCTGTCAACTGTCACATCAAGCACCATCGACCTATCCATGTTCATGTATCGTCTTGTGTTTCCAAGCATGCATTAGCGACCAATTAATAAGTGAGGCCAGCAACGACACATAAAATATAAGACTCATTCATCCTTTAGGTAGTGTTATAGGCAAAGGCCGGGTTCAATACCTATTCGACATCTTCTCCAACAACATGACCCAAAAGAGAATCATTTCTACAAATAAATTTTCAGAAGAGAGGATGCCTATATTTGGGTTGTGCCTGTCAGACAATCCAAAATAGATTTCTCATAGAGGTACTCCGTTGAAAACTGATTTTATGTCACTTACTATCCATTTTTTGTTTAGATTTCATATGGGTTGCTTGTTAGAGACGGTCTGAAATGACGGTGATTGCATGCTAATAACGCCTCAAGCTGCGCGCTTGATCGTGTGCGTGCAGGCCCGATCTTCACCTACTCGATCGGCAGCATGGTGTTCCTGCACGCCAGCCGGGCGGACGTGGTCCGGGACCTCGGCCTCTGCGTGTCGTCGCTGGACCTCGGCAAGAGCTCCTACATGAAGGTCACGCACCGGCCGCTCTTCGGCGACGGCATCCTCAAGTCCAGCGGCGAGGCCTGGGCGCACCAGCGGAGGCTCATCGCGCCCGAGTTCTTCCCGGACAAGGTCAAGGGCATGGTGGACCTCATGGTCGGCTCGGCCACGGCGCTGGTGGCGGCGTGGGAGGACAGGATTAGCATGATCGGCGGCCGCGGCGGTGGCGCGGAGCTGGAGCTCAAGATCGACGACGACATCAGGGCCTTCTCCGCCGACGTCATCTCCAGGACATGCTTCGGCAGCAGCTACGTCAAGGGCAAGAGGATCTTTGCGGTGATCAGGGATCTGCAGAAGGCGGTGTCCAAGCCCAACCTGCTGGCCGAGATGACCGGCCTCAGCTTCCTCCCGACGAGGACCAACAGGGAGGCGTGGAGGCTCAACAGGGTCGTAAGGGACCTGGTGCTGGACGTCGTCAGGGAGAGCGGGGACGACGACAGGAACCTGCTGAACGCGATGCTCCGCAGCGCCGCGGCGTCCGGAGGCGGCGACCGCGTGGGCGCGGCTGCGGTGGAGGAATTCGTCGTGGACAACTGCAAGAACATCTACTTCGCCGGGTACGAGACGACGGCGGTGACCGCTGCCTGGTGCATGATGCTCCTGGCGCTGCACCCGGAGTGGCAGGACCTGGTGCGCGACGAGGCGCGGCAGGCGTGCGCCGGCGCCGCGCCGGACTTCGCGTCCCTGCACAAGATGAAGCAGGTCAATTCATACGACGTACTATATATACGCCAGCACTCACTCACAGTAGCATGCACGCACGCACGCACGACTCACAGTACCCTAGCGCGCAGCTGCGACCTGCTCTTGATCTCAATCTCATCACCTGACGACCGTACGGGCGGATCGTGCTATTGCTGTTGCAGCTGACGATGGTGATCAAGGAGACGCTGCGGCTGTACCCTGCCGGCGCGGTGGTGTCGAGGCAGACGCTCCGCGACGTCACCCTCGGCGGCGTGCGCGTGCCGGCGGGCGTCAACATCTATGTTCCCGTCTCGACGGTGCATCTGGACCAGGAGCTGTGGGGCGCCGACGCGGGGGAGTTCGACCCGGGCCGGTTCGCGGACGACGCGCGGGCGCACCACCAGCGGCAGCCGCACGCGTACCTCCCCTTCGGCGCCGGCGCGCGCACCTGCCTCGGCCAGGCCTTCGCCATGGCCGAGCTCAAAGTCCTGCTGGCGCTCGTGCTGTCCAGGTTCCAGCTCACCCTGTCGCCGGCTTACGTGCACTCGCCAGCGCTCAGGCTCATCGTGGAGCCCGAGCATGGCGTGCGGCTCGTGCTCAAGAACGTGGAGCCCAGTTGCTAGCTGGCTGGGCCTCATGCCGCTGGTCGTTCTGTGGGTGGGCTGGTCGTTCGTTTCTTCCACGCTGGGCCTCCCCACTGAAACGAAAATTTCGGCCCAATAGTCAATAATCTGCTGGGTTACGCGCCGGTCACGGCGATTGCATTGTACAGATTGGACAGGCCGGCTTTTCATCTATGGTACAGTGTTTTTCTCTCATAACAAAATAGTCGGCTTATCAGCCGCATAAACCATCAATCGAACAACGTCTAGATGTTTGGGGATATTCAGGCGGTGTCGCATTCTGTCATTCGGATTGTGTTTTAAAATACACTCAGCGTGGCGCACGCATGCAAGCCCTTGCTGCAGTTTGCAATTTGCGAGCATCAGCTAAGTAAGGCACTTCCATGATACTTAGCATACTAGCATAGCATATTATGGCTTCTCTGGATCAGCACTTTCTTCTGTCTGCTTAAAGTACCTGTAATCAGGGATGATAAGAATAAATGTTGCAGCTGAGAGCCAAGTTTAGGTGAAGACCGTGTGGTCATAATGGCATGATCTGGACTCTAGATAGTATATAGTACAAAAACAACGTTCCTAATTCATGGGGAAATGATAGCGACTTCTGAGCTAGACAACCAAGGCCAGAAGGGTTTTCCTATTCGTTTCTGATAAATGACTCTGCAAATCCTGTCTGCAGTATCGGTGAAACATGAAACTTCAGTAAACGTTCAGATCCTCGATCCTCCACGGGCTTCCTGACGAGCCAGTGTTGCAAAAGCTTTTTGGAACATTTGATTGAACAAGGAAACACGCTAATAAGCTTCTGCCCAAACTGATCAGACTTCCACGGTTCCACCACAGACTTCTTCCATCACTTGTCCATTCAGTACACAGCTTTCTTACATTATTCAGAGTCGGAACTGGGACAACTCGGATTTTCCAAAGACCCAAGATTCGTCGCCAGTCCATATCCAAGCAACGCATAAAGTTGGCGTCAAAGACTGTATATGTATGCTTCCACAGATCCAGTCCTTGAAATTCTGAAGAAAAATGCTTTGCTGATCCCAATCCGCCGATACCTGACATAGTAGCTACATGAACTCCATGCTGAAGGTTGTCAGTGGCCATGTCGTCGCCTAATCACGTTGGGTACGAATAAGTCTACTATGGCGATAGGTGCCCCCATTCATCTCAAAGCACTTTCAGAGCTGAAAAAGGTTCACCAGTTGTTGCTTAAAGATGGGAGCTAGGAGAGGCCAAACTGAACAAATACTGGACGACCTTCAGGAAAAGGTAAACTAACAATTACAAACTCGATCAGGTTTCCTGGTGTTCGGCAGAGATTCGTTAAGAAAAACAATAATTTTTGCGTGGACAGAAGTTAGAAAGAAACTCATAATTGAGAGACATCGATCCCAGCGCGTAGTTGTCGTGATCGTTGATCAGTAGTCTGAGACGATCGATTGGATAGCGACTGAAATCTGTCCACACTGATGAGTATGAGATTGCCCAAACTGAGCGTTTCACGTGAAAATCTGGCAATTCGCTGTATCAATCATGCCTGATGTGCTACCAGAGCTAAACGAAACAAGAAGCCTGCGCCGGTTCTAGATTCTGGACAACGACGGCACTATGGCGAGAAAAAAAAAAGTTTTGGTCTCTCCATGGAAGTGAGAGATATCCTTAGGGTGCAGTAGTACATCCAACGATGTCCAAACTCCAAACCCATTCATCACTGAATAAGTGGAAATGAGAAGATATGACAGTCTTTTTCGTGATCAGTGCGTTTTTAAAATGAACGATGATTGATGAATGATCTTTTATCCGATGAAAAACTTGTGAATGCCCTTTTTTAAAAAAAGAAACTTGTGAATGCCCTTTTTTTAAAAAAAAAACTTGTGAATGCCGGATTATCCAACATGTTCATTTTTTTAAAATTTTGGTTGGTCTAGTATGTTTATTTTCAACAAACCATCACTTTGCGTTTTGGGTGTAAATTTTGACCTTTGACTTTTGATTTTGATGATATAAAAAGATCGTGAAGATCTCTACATGACTATATACATATATCCATCCCATTTTATGACATTAAAATTCACGGGGAAAGTCCAATTCGTCATTACTCTTTGTTCTGAATTCGGTGACTTCACTCCTCGTTTCTAACCTTGCACATTCTTAGCAAACATCACCTTGGTGGTTTTGGTGATGAGCATTTCAGCATTTACCATACACTAACCAACTGAATTAAGAAGATATGAAGATGAAAGCATCTTGGACTAAATTTAGCTATCCAAGTTGATACACATGTCCCATTTGAAATCATTTTCATAGTATAAAATGCCAACCAGTTGCCGGAGAGCTTATAAAGAAAGGAGACCATAACCATACTGAAAAATGACCGGACGGATGACCTCAAGAAAAGGACGTCAGTCAACAATTATGAACTCTACCCAGTTGCCCGGTGGCCGATAAAGATTCGTTTAAGAAGAAAGAACATCTTTGCTTTTGCACGCGATTCAGACACATCCCACATCCCAGCGCGTAGCTGTCGTGGTCACCATCAGTCTCAGTCGATACAATACAAAGACGAGGACAGAGATATATGGAGTTATGGACACACGTTTTCCGGAGCGTCCTCGCATGTGGCCGCTCTGTGCTCTAGCTTCTTAGTAATTCACTCGTTTCCTCAGCAGCCCAAGCACGGGCAGAAATGCGACGAAATTGCCTTGCATATGTTGCTGGACCATCGGCCATCATATCGGCGGCAGCACATCACGTGAAAAAACTGTCGATCGATCTGCTGTAGTAGTACCAATTACGTACGCCTGTGTTGCCAGCTGCCTGATTCAGGAACAAGAAGCATTCGCAGCGATGGCAGTCAGCGTGGGCGTGGCCATGGATTGGAAAGACGCTTTGATCTGGTCTCTCGGCGAGACAAAGATGCCTCCTCACCTAACCCTGGCCAGCTTGCGGCAGATGCTTGCTGGACCGGGCCTAGCTGCGACGAAACGCAGTACAAACAAGCTGAACAGTGGCTTCGATTTGATTCGCGCGTTCGTCTGCATGCAATAATGCATCATGCATGGAAGTTTAACGGTAGTATATGTTTGGTTTGGTAGGCGATCAATTTCCCGGTAGGGTAGAGAGGGACGACGAAGCACACGGGCATTTCGGTCCGCGTCCCCCGGACGCGCTCCTCCCTCCCCTTGCTGGTCCCTGCTATAAACAGCCAGCGCTGTCCTCGAGCTCCTCCCGAAATAAAAGAAGCGATTTTGACACCACACAAATTAAAGGAGAGAAGACAACGCAGGGCAGCCACCAGCCAGAGCGCGGCTCCGCTGAAGCACACCAGCAGGGGCGAGCGAGAGAATCTGTACGCCGAGGTCAACCTCGAGCTTGAAGGATGGACACGAACCAGGGCGTGGTGGCGGTGGTGAAGCCGGCGCTGGCGAAGGGGACGCCGTCGGCGTCGTTCCGGCTCCGCAACGGGAGCCTGAACGCGGTGCGCCTCCGCCGCGTGTTCGACCTGTTCGACCGCAACGGGGACGGCGAGATCACGGTGGACGAGCTGGCGCAGGCGCTGGACGCGCTGGGCCTGGACGCCGACCGCGCCGGCCTAGCCGACACCGTCGGCGCCTACGTGCCCAACGGCGCCGCGGGCCTCCGCTTCGAGGACTTCGACAAGCTCCACCGCGCGCTCGGGGACGCCTTCTTCGGCGCGCTCGCGGACCAGCAGGACGACGCCGCCAGCGCCGGGGCGGACGGCGGCAAGGGCGGCGAGGAGGACGAGCAGGAGATGCGGGAGGCGTTCAAGGTCTTCGACGTCGACGGCGACGGCTTCATCTCCGCCGCCGAGCTGCAGGAGGTGCTCAAGAAGCTGGGACTCCCCGAGGCCAGCAGCATGGCCAACGTCCGGGAGATGATCTGCAACGTCGACCGCGACAGCGACGGCCGCGTCGACTTCGGCGAGTTCAAGTGCATGATGCAGGGGATCACCGTCTGGGGCGCCTGATCATCCATCTAAGTGTGTCAAGGCAGGGCAAATTAACCCAAGCTCCTGAAAACGGATCGGACATGGTGAAGATCGAGATGGCGATATGGGTAGTAGGTTAATTTCCTAATTAATTGTTCTTCCAGACTCCGTGTTTCGCCGAGACAGTGCTGCGACCGCGACCTTATTCTTGTCTTAGTAGTTGGCCTCATCCTTGTCTTGTGGCCTTGATGCGTCTCTAATTGTCTAGTTGTTGTGTGTGCTGGTGTTTTAATCTTGTTGTCCTTCACTGGTCTAGTGGTGGTGAGAATGCCCTCTCCTGTGTGTCTGACTGTCACGTAACCATGGCATGCCATGGCATTGCTGAAAATTAGGCCTTTGCCAGTTGATGAAAATGTACTTATCAAACGCGGTTATTCTGATTAGTGTCTTGGGTTGATACTCGTGTCAGTTATTCCGCGATGTGATTGGGCTAAATGCCTAATCAGCTCCCGAGGTTCATGCATGCTCTGTTTTTTAATTAGTACCTTCTGGCACAATGTGAGCCGACGATGATTTTTTAGGTTTGTTATGCATCAAAGCCTCTATCAATTCATTACGCAACAATTCTTTTTCTTTTGATAGATCCGCATATGGAGAATCTCTTTGAGCCGGCTTGTGAACATCAACCTACACATTAGTGTCTTCCTTGGCGGTACCGTCCTTCAACTGTAAGCCCATTGCATCCTTCCATTCGTCCTTTGCAGTGTATTTCATCGTGCTCTTGTCCACCTTATACTCTGCATATGGCTTGTGTCACCACGGTCGGCTACTTGAGCACTGTATATTGCAAAAACAAGGGTGCCATATGTAATACAATTTTTTATGAGTGTAACCTCCAAGTGCAAGGAGCTCAAAAAAAATCATTGTTTTACAAAGCACAAGCTTTGCCTCATAGTGTGCCTGATCGCCCCGATCACCGTACTCTTTGTGCTCCATATTGGTTGTACCTATATCATCATCTGCAGAACCCTTTAGTTCTAACATCTCCATATCATAGTTTGCCTCCACACCAAGTGGCTCATCCCTATCATTACTTTGTCCGATGGGGACATGTTCTTCAATTCTATGGTTTCCTGCACATAGTAAACGGAGATAACATAAAATTGTATTATCTCTTGTGTCGCCCCTTTTAGATTAATGTCGTTTCCTATTGGTATTAATCTTTTGTATTACAAATATTGGAATAATACTTTTCCTCTTTCAGCCTGTTCGGTAGGTCGTAAACGATCGTGGATTATTTACTGCTGGCTGGTTTGGTGTGAAAGAAAAATATTGTTCCAGCTTATAATCCATGATCGTATACGAGCAAGCGAACAGGCTGTGTAGGGAGAACTATCATTCCTACAATGAAGTTTCACGATGCATTTATTTCAAACAGATGCTCGTGAATTCTGAAATACGATGCTCAAGTACAGCCGATCGAAAATTTTCATGTCTTGTTTATGCATGGTCCTTTTTTCATTTTTATGATGCAACTTATCATTTCCCCATCGTTAGTTGGACACGTTTGTTTTAGTGTATACATAAGAATTGGCCTTAACTATCTAGTACCAACTATGATGGGTATGTTTGTATTGTGTACTGGAACATCAGGCGCGCTTTGCGCGCCCTGCCATGACTTTAATTACAAATATTAATATCCACCGCAATCAAGAGTTAAAGACATATATAACCTCATAAAGGCCCAAGGAGATGATATCATTAAGATCTAAAAACAGACACATGAATGAACTGGTATAGTTAAGAGCTCGTCATATTTCCTTATCTAAAAACGGACACATGAATGGACTGATATAGATAAAATCCGTCATATTTCATTATCAAGATTTAAAATCAGCATAGCAAATTATGTACAGAGAACCCAACCATCCGATAGCAAATTAAGAATTTAAGATCTCAAAATAAGCACAAGTAGCTCAAGCACAGCGCTGAACCGGGGCTAACACAAAACAGCAGGAACCTCAACACAAACATTTAAAAATTGCCAACGTATACAAATCAAGCTAGCCACCATACTTGGTATCAATTAAGATTACAGGATTCAAATGCATTTATTTCATGCTCTTACTGTGTTCACAAGGATACCACGCGTAGAAATGTGGCTGAAATCCACATTCACCTAAAACATGTAATAACTATGAATCCTGCATCTGGCATCATGCATCAATGACTTGGGAAAACGTCCAGATCATCTAGAGCTCCTTGGTTGTGCAAACACCCACTTGGAAATTATTCTAAAGTGCTCATAAAATGAATTTTGACAATTACATTACATAGTGTTCATCCGAAGTCTTAGTGGTTGATCACCAAAAATGTCTATCTGCTTACAATTTTCATTTCTCCTTCGTGCTGCATGCCTTAACTTCACCAAGAATAAGATTAAGAAGCAATTAGGCTTCTAGTTCAGACAAAAATGTGTCAACCAGATTTAAGGAGTGGATAAGCAAAAAGTTGATATCCCGTCTATAAGGACCTAGGAAAAAAACATCACCGGAGAAACTATGTTAAATGCTTGGTGCAAAGGATTGTGTCACTTGTGGAAGAATATATATAAAACCTGGATAAATCACTTGTTCACGCCAAACTGGCTACAATGCCCAAGTCAATGCAGCAATGCAATATACTGCTCTAAAAAGCAAACTTTTCAGTTGTTGGAAATAATATGACCAGTGCATCACGTCAAACATCTCTCCACAGCACTAATGACAATTATCATGTAATACCATCGGTGTAAATAGTATAGAATTGCTTAAAGACCACTTCAGGAAATGGATGTATTTAACTGTAAGAGCAGGACATGCACGTGAATTCAGAAGGCATAAATAAATAAGGAATTCATTTCCATCTTTGACAAATTCAATGGGCATGTGGAAAAGATGTGGTCACCTCTACTTATCTAAATGGATGGAAAGGGATACTGAAATAAGAGTATTTGAGGTCACGACCTGCTTTGGTTAATCATGTAAAATCAAAGCATACAATGCTGAGTGTGCGGTCCTTTAATCACTGTGCTCATCACATTATTTTTTAGTGACTATATGAACCAAATCTATGAACAAATATAAAACGATATAGGTGATCACAATAAATTTAGTAAAAAAAAGACAGCATGTCATAACTGAACATCCTTAAAAATGATCTTTCGGGTAACATAGGTGATGAAGGTACATATATTGTCTGATCAGAACTCAGATACACTCTGAACTAAAATTCATCAAATTAGATCAAGTGTAAGTCTTACCATTTGCCTGTCCGATACTCATAGTGATCTTGCTCTCTCAACCATGCAGACAACCTATCAATCATCGGTGAGGAATGTAAGTATGTAACTTGTTATCCATAGTAGTAGAGTAAACTACAGTAATATTTCACTGAATAAAAGGTGGCATTATGAAAGGAAAAAATAGCTAGCAGACATATATCATCAGTAACTACACACAGTAGCTTCTCATGAAGCAAACTGCAGACCCATTTCTTACTAATGACTTAGATGGACATGCTCGACAATAATCTAGAGAGTATGGCCTCACCCGGTAAACAATACAAGGCGCAAAAACATCTTGAACCGTTACTGCCAATAAATAATACCAATGCTCCTAGAAGAACGCAATGCACATAGAAATCCACAGGGCTCCTGGATGGAACTGAATTGTTCTGTGTGGCTCTTGGAGACAGCAAAGGGAAATGGGCAGAAACAAGCCTCACTACGGATAGCAGAACCAAAGCACGGGGGAGGGGGTGCACCTATGCAGCACCAACATCGCAGGAGAGCAGGAAGACAGAGGATGCCTTCGGCTCGAGATGGACGCCCCGCCCCTCAAGGACCTGAACCCACACGCCGACGTGGGGATCCACACAGATAAGGCATCCTCGCTACGAAGCGACCAGGGATCTGGCCAGCCCCTCCAATTCAGCCACAAGAAATATGAGGAGGAAAGCTTACATCGAATCATAGGAGGCCTCCTAGAACTTGCCAACCGGTTCCGCCAGATCTACGTGCTGCCGAATCTCGCGCGGCTCCACGTGCTCCCCCATGCTGCCGAGGCCACACGGCTTCCCTTGCTCGAGCGATGATGACGCTCTTGCCGGCATGGAGGCTGCATGGGAAAGGGCTAGCGCCTCCTCTTCCATCGACCATGCCATTCGTGGGAGTAGGTGAGGTCCGTCCGATCTGCGCCACCGGATCTCGCGTCGCTCAACGCACTCCCCCATGCCGCAGAGGACACGCAGCTTCCATGCTTGAGCAACGGTAGTATGGAGGCTGCGCGGGGAGGAGAGGGCAGGGCCAGGGAGGGCCGGAGGTGCGATGGTGGCGGCGGCGGCTGGGGAGGAGAGAAAGGAGAGAGAGGATGAAGCAAACCGGTCTAGGGCATTGGTCGGGTAGCAGATAGCCGACGGGTATAGGAATGGGCAAGAATCTATACTCGAGACAGTTAATGGGGACAGGGACGGGAACGGGATGAATTGTGCGTAGCGGGAAAGGGAATATTCCGGTGATACGCGACGGATACATCCCGTTGCCATCTTTAGGTGGACCGTGGGTTGATTCTGAGAAATTGGAGGGTCTTTTTGCAAACCAGGTCGCGGCACATGTTAGCACATAGATGAGCCACCAATGTCTCAAATTCTCTGGTGGGAAGAGAGTAGAGTGGATTTTAATCATGCCAAAATCTTAACTCATTTGTGTCGGTCTTCAAATGAATATGTTGCCGGCACAGAGACCTTGAAGAGTATTTAAAAGCAGTAGTGATCGAGAGAAAGAATGAATCGAACCATACTTTTCCATTGATCGATCTCACAATTTATACAGGTTGAAGCGACGCCACGGGAGTTGTCAGACGCCCGTTCGGGGACGCGGATACGCGGCTTCCCAACGGGTAGCGATCCCGGTGATGTCGGTTCCGAAAGATGGAGTAGTCCGTACGAAACTACAGTGATTACAGGGAGAGATTACACTGATGGTTGGATTTAGATCTAAG